CGTTCAAAACAAACACTTACAATGTTTGTTTTGATTTTGTTGTCGAAGTTAAATGATATTCCACTACGTTAGCGGGGTTTTTTAACTTACAAAGATGTGCTAAATCTCTCCTTTTCACTTTCGTAAATTTGATATCTTTTCACAGGCTTATGCGCATTTCACCTGAACTAACGCATGCTCACTAGAAGTGCACATGCGCACTTACTTGAAATCATACGTACGGGAGCTAACTTCAGTTTGCGAAATTTACCTATAGTTTCAGAGTTTTTTAGCTTTAAAACTTTTGATCAGTTGTCCATATGCTGTTCCATCTGCAAACATTTTAAAGAATTGGTAGCGAATTAAAAACTTGTAGAATAAGAAAAATTGCGTCTACTATTTAAAAAAATCACCACATGATAACTGAAAATAAGTTGCTTTCATATGATGCTTTGAAATTTTGATATGCAATGGCAGAAAAATTACTTAAAATGAAAAAATACTTAACTGAAAATATTAACTTATTCTATTTTTTTTTAATAACTTTATTATGTTATTGTTTCTAATACCATTTGCTAATATCAGAAAGCCTGCTTGGTGAAACCAAGCGATTTTAAAGCAAGTGTTGCGTTTTTTGTTTCTTAGTGGCTCTACCTATGGCTAGGAAAATGAATTCAGTCACACACACGTCACAGTCCATTTAAAGGGAGGAACTTATTTGTACGTCATTCATTCATTCACAGGTCGTAATTTTGACCTGAACTTAAAAAAGGATCATTCTCCTATACAGTATTCCCAGAGGTATTGACTTGTTTTGAGGAAGTGTAGGATTTTGATACCCTAATATATTCAACGTGAAACAAGTTAACATTTAATACACTGTTATTACACGTTTTTTAATGAAGATAAACACGTTATTACATGTTAAGGAAGAACGAAAAGACATGGAGAGCTTTGATAACGATAAAACATGGAGACCTTTATGACCCGAAATATTTAACGTGCATAAATCACCATTTTCTACACGGGAGGTTTTCGGCAGGCCAGGATCGAGCCCACGGCGTCTTGTACATGAGCCCAACACCTTACCAACCAGGCTATCCCGGGATATTATACATTGCCTTTGCACCGAACTTCCTCAGCAAATAATTTTCCTACAATGAAAGTACATTATGGCTCTATACTATCCTTAGCAATACACTTTACAACATACTATAAAAGTCGGAAATAAATTATGAAAAACTTGCCGGTAATGCTTTCTATCTTTACTCATATAAATAAGTAAAAGTGGCATTCACTATTACGGAATTAAACAGAAATGCATAAATTCCCAACTACAATTTATTTTTAAATAGAAAAAGAAATTTTAAAAAAAACTTGATCAGTTTTGTTATGAAAATAAGCTCAGACGAAATTTCTCAGAAAACAGTTTCAGACGAATTTCTTCATTTCAGCTTACGGTTTCACCTGCTTCTTTGTCTTCTAAACCATTCGGTTGTGGCAATCTCTGTAAAATACCTTTTTTTCCATCAAGTAAAATATAATCACCTAAAATATCAAAACATAGCATCTAAATAATGTCAATAAAATAAAACCTTATTTCAAAACAGTTAATTAGCAAATTTAAAAAAATCTTGAAAAGTTTTAAAAATGAATAAAATGAANGAGTAAGTACAGAATCAACGAAATTCCACCATGTAGTTGCTGCTCTACAACCGGAGGAACTGGCGATTATCAGCGACATTGTTATCAGTCCACCTGTGGATAAGCCTTTCGCCGCACTTAAGAAAAGATTGTGCTCTCAATATGCTGAATCTGAAGCTCAACGCTTAAGGGATTTGATTTCGGGGATGCAACTTGGCGACCGCCGTCCTTCAAGACTGCTTCTGGAGATGCGGAATAAAGCCGGAGCGAGAATTAACGATGAAATTCTTAAATCTTTATTTTTGCAGAGATTGCCTACTAACGTTCAACAGATTTTGGCGATTTCCAACGATAACCTGGACAAGCTGGCAGAGATGGCGGATGGTATCATGGCTACAACAACTAACGCACAGTCAGTCAGCGTAGTTGCTGATTCGACGGATCAGACGGATTTACGGTCTTTATTGACAGAGATCACAGCTCGTCTCGCACGGTTGGAAGCCCGTACAAGTGACCGGTCGAGAAGTACTAGTCAGAAACGCTCTACAAGCCGAAGCCGACAGTCTGTAAATATGAATGTTAATTTCTATTCGATATAATCGTACTATTTCAATTAATTTCGCTAGAACCGTAGTGCATTAGGGGATAGAGCGCTCGTCTTCCAATGAGGCGACCCATGTTCGAATCCAACCTTCGTTGGTCGATATGAATTCTGCTCCACACAGCCACAGTACTGACATGAAATATCATCTGTGGTAGAAATATTCTAATCCCACTGCTGTCGGGTTAACCGGGGGAAGTTTTGTGATTTTCCTCTTCCTGTATCATGTATTGGGAGAAATATTTCCTTTCATGGAGGACTTTTTATGGATTTACGTTACATGCAGTGGAAATCCGCATTTGCATTACATGGAGAGGAAATTCACGAAAACCTTCCACGGTTAGCCTAACGGCAAGGAGATCCGTCTGCCACTGGGGATATTTTACATCAGCACTGTACTTGGTTCAAGCCAGATGCGGTGTTCGTATACACCAGCCATTGCTGGCATTCGAACCTGAGTCACCTCAGTCAAACGCTCTATCTCTTGAGCGACAGCGGCTCATTAAGAAATATTTATCAAATCATTTGGAAAACTCATTCTTTGGGGTGTAGCGCACGAACCGGTGGTTCGAGATAGTTTAAAAGTAAACAAATTGGACAGCTGTGTCTTTAAATGTATTTCAATCAAATAATACCACGGTTTAGAATTGGGTACTGACAGCTCGAGAAGTGAAATGATTATGCCTAGTCATGTGGTTGAAATCATATTAAATTGAATACCTGTAAGAGACGTCACGCGTGTGCTGGTTTCTGAATCGACACATGCCCTGATTTACCAACGATGACGTCACTTGCGGGTATCCAATTGCGAATTAGTATACGGTACATACATACAAACATTCTGCTTTATTAACATAGATTTTATAAGTCTAACTTAGAACATTTTGGTCCAGAATTACAAACAATCAACCGACGCATATGGGTTGATCAAAAACAATAAAAACACTTGTATACTAATTCCGTACCTGCCAACATTCACTCTTTTCGAGAATAGATTGTCCAAGTGGTAGTAAAACAATAACCGAAAAACTATCTTCTTCAAAAATATATTTATAATTTAATCAGGTTGAAATTCGCTATCGTAATGACTAAAATGCTTTCATATATATTTGTTGTAATTATATATATGTAGTGGTGGTCAAACTCATTTATAATTATTATTATAATTCAAAAAGTTTAGCGGAATAACATGAATTTCGCTACCACTATAAATATGGAAATAAAATCTTCCGGGAAAACCGGAAGAGTTGGCAGCTATGTAATTCTATCGAAACATGTTTTCTTTTAGCACATTTGGAAGATTTACTAGGTAAAAAATTGTTGGAACAGTTTCGAAATAATCTCATAGGGTTGTATGATTTCCATAAGAATGCTTTTTCAACAATAGTGGTATAAAAAAAACTGCTTTTAACTTCCTACTCTCATCCCGTCGGAGAGTGCGAAGTTCGTAATTGAACTCTGAAATCATAAATGATTCAAGATTTAGAGAGAATCAGTAAGCGTTTTATTTTATTTTATTTTTTGTAGTGTTGCGTTGTTGTAAAAATATACTTATACGGTCGCTACAAAGTGGTAGTAAAACAACAACAATAATGAAAATATTTTCTAAAAATAAATTTATTGACACACTTAAGGCTTAAGAAACAAATAAATATTTCAACTTTTTTTTTAATTGTCTTGGTAGTTAGAGTTTTCTTCTAAGATTTAAATTGAAGACTTATAGCATCTCAACGCTATAATTTTACTATCAGTATGAAATTTTTTTCTTTATCGACCGTATCTGTAGGCAAATTTAAATGTTACTTGAAGTCTTAATATTATGAAATTAATAATAATTTATAATTATTTTTTAAAAAGGGTGGTAGTCAAAATTATTGTTAAATTCATCAAATATAAAACAATAACGCTAAAACTTACTACCACTTTAAATATTCAAGAAAAGTATCGCTCCAAAAGTCAGATAATTTGGCAACTCACCGTGTGATATAAGTCCACCGAGTTCTGTCACAACTCCAGAAATAATCGGGAAATATGGACTCCAACCGATGTCTGTACTAAAAGCAATTAAGATTTCTCCTGGCTAAATAAAATAGAATTAAATTTTGTAGAGAATTTCGAACATCATTTAGTTAAGAGTCATTTAATAGAGCTTTTAATGGTTTTGAAAATATTTA